ACTGGAGAGAAAAAAAAAAGAAAGTGATTTTATTTACAGATGATATCACTGGAGACGATGCAAACCCCAAAGGATCTGCAAATAAAATTATGTACCAGATTTACAAAAACTGAGAAAGCTCCTTAGATGCTGAAGCCAGTTGCATTCTATGCACCTGCAACTTGCCGATTAAAAATGTAATCGTGCCCTAACTGGCTTGGCTCAGGGGATAGAGCGTTGGCCCGTGGACTTAACAACTGGTCTGTTCACTATTAAGTATGCATGTGCGAAAACTTCCTTTAAAAGTATTGGGATGATGGGTTGTCGACATGGAAAAAATATGCGATTTGACTTTATCACACTCCACACTCCCCAATCAGTCCCCAAAGAGGCCAAGATTTGACTGTAAATAACAAAACTCTAAACATGCTATGAGAATATCTTGATGAAGTTGGGGGCAAACAAGAATTCCTTAAACAAGACACCGTGTGAGTACAGCAAAGGAAAAGATTTATCATAAATCCAGAGATGGAAGCAGATTAGCAGTGCCCAGGGACTGGGGGAGAAGGGATGGGGAGTGGCTATTCATGGGGACAGGTCTTCCTTCTGGGGTGATGGTAATGTTTTAGTACTACATACAAGTGGTGGTTGCACAATTTTGTAAATGTACTAAATACCACTGAATTGTATACTTTAAAGTGGTTACAATGGCCCTGGTCAGTGTGGCTCCGTGGTAGGGCATCGGCCTGAGCATGGAAAGGTCGCGGGTTCTATTCCTGGGTATGTATGTGGGTTGCAGGTTCGTTCCCAGGCCCAGCTGGGCCAAGTGTGAGATACAACGATGTTTCTCTCTCTCTCTCTCTCTCTCTCTGTGTCTCTCTCTCTCTCTCACCTCCTCTCTTCCTTCCACTTTCTCTAAAAATCAATGGAAAAAATATCCTCAGAGGGGAGGATTTAAAAAATAATAAAATCGTTAAAATGGTCAATTTTGAGGGAAGGATTTAGAAAAATAATAAAATCGTTAAAATGGTCAATTTTGTTGTGTGCATTTTACAGCAATAAAAAATTAAATTATGAGCCCTAACAGGTTTGGCTCAGTGGATAGAGCGTAGGTCTGCGATCTGAAGGGTCCCAGGTTCAATTCTAGTCAAGGGCACATGACCGGGTTGCATGCAGGAGGCAACCAATCGATGATTCTCTCTCATCATTGATGTTTCTGTCTCTTTCTCCCTCTTCCTTCCTCTCTGAAATCAAGAAAAAAAATTCTTAAAAAAATTAAATTAAGAGCTTTGTAAAAACTCCCACTCTAGGAGGTGGAGCACAATTCCTTCTCCTTGAGTTTAGCAATTTGCTAACAAGGAACAGGGTAGGGCAAGGGAAAAAATAGTAACTTACGTTAGATAAACCTGGCAGGCAGCACTTAGCCCAGGTGATCAAAGTTAACATCACCTGTGGGCACCAGGGACCTCTGGTTTGATGTGACAAGGAGGGAGCCCCATCTCTGTGATCTTCCCCTCAAACTTTATAACCTCAGTCTAATAACGAAAAGATAACAGATAAACGCAAACTAAGGAACTTCCCACAAATACCTACCAGTACTCTTCAAAGTGTCCAGGGGATGAAAAAGAAGGAAACACAGAAAAATAGGGAAACACAAGGTGGGGACAAGAAGATAAGATGACTAAGTGCAATGTAGGATCTGGACCGGATCCTGGACTAGAGAGACGAAACACTGGTGAAATGTAAAATCTGCTATTTAGTTAATAGTAAGTGCCTATGCTAATGTTTTCATCTTTACATAGATACACATAACCCCCGTGTAAGGGGGTTTATAGGCGTGTTCTATCCCTTTACAGTTCTGCAACTCTGTAACTTTGCTGTATATCTCACATTTTCCAACAATAAAAAAATTATTTTAAAAATTAAGAGCTTCTGCCCAGCTGGTGTGGCACAGTGGTTGAGCTGTGACCCAGGAACCAAGAGATCACTGGTTCGATTCCATTCAGGGCACATACCTGGACGGCAGGCTCGATTCCTAGTGGGGAGCGTGCAGGAGGTAGCTAATCAATGATGTTTCTCTATCATTGATGTTTCTATCTCTCTATCCCACTCCCTTCTTCTTTCTCTAAAAATATTTTAAAATATGTT